TTACAGATGTGTGACACCACGCCCCGGTTTCCTGGTCCTGAAGACTGAACCCTAAGCTTTCTGCATTTGCTAGGCAAATGTTCTGCCAAGTTGAGCTACAACCCCTGGCTCTATAATATCTGCTTCTTGCAATCCTGTACATTCTTCAAGGCACAATTTTGTTTTATGTGCACCCTGTGTGTGCATGGTGCCTGTAGAGGTCAGAGCAGGGAACAGCTCCTGGGACCAGAGTTAGGGGTATTGTGAACCACCATGTGGATGCTGGGAACTGAACCCAGGTCCTCTGCAAGAGCAGCAGGTGCCCCTAACTCCTGAGCCAGCTCTCCAGTCCAGGTACAAATTATGTCCTAATCCCCTACCTTGGAATAGTCTCTCCATTTTGTATTTCCACATCCTAACCTGCCAGGACTTAGCTATGGATTTTTGTGCCCATTGTATTTCTGACTGTTTTGTAAGGGTTCAGAGAGCAGGAAAGCACAGTGTCTTCTTCATGTTCTGATCCGTGCAGTTCCTCATACACATCAATATAGATATAGATATATTCATAGAATAGATAGACATAGAATATATGTATAATAGATATATCTATAGAATTGAATAAAATAAATATAATGACTAATACAATTAAAAAGTTGTCATTGAAACAACTTTGGACCTTGAGAACAGAAATGTTAAAGATGGATTCAGAGAATTGTATTGAGCAGTTTAGTTCAATAGAAACAGAATGAGAGCTATACATGTTTATATTTATTATTATTATTATTATTATTATTATTATTATTATTATTATTATTATTATTATGTTTTTTGAGACAGGGTTTCTCTATGTAGCCCTGGCTTGTCTAGAAATTGCTCTGTAGACTAGAGTAGCCTTGAACTCAGACATCTATCTGCCTTTGTTTCCCAAGTACTGGGATTAAAGATATGCCCCCCCCTACTGCCCAGCTTGTATATATTCTTTTAATTTTTCTAGTAGTTACATTTTAAAAGGTGAAATTAACTTTAAGACATCTAACATTTTATTTAAACATAAAATATTTCAGTATGTAACTGTACAGATATTATTGATACATTCACATTCCTTCTTCAGATTAATTTTTATAAGTACATATAGCATATCAGTGCAAATTTGCATGGCTGGAAAGATGGCGTCAGTGCTAAAGGCTGTACACACAACCAAAAAACAAATATGCCACACTTGAGAGTGCTTTATAGCCAGGCTTGGGGGCTCGCCTCTGTAATCCCAGCACTCAGGAGGTACAGGTAGGAGACTTTGGGAGCTGGCTTGTACCGTATGACAAGTTCTGGGCCAGCCTGGGATACACACTTGGACTCTGGCCACTGGCTGCTTTATTAAGAAAGGAACTGAGCAGAGAACAAGGCCAGAGAGCTTGTCCTGGCTGACTGCAGAATGGCTTTGTTACTACAAACAAAACATTTCACTACTCCTTTCGTTCATTCTTTATCTGGAAAGAGAGGACATACGTTTATTTGTTTGTTTTTTTAACCTGCCTTATAAGTTTTGTAATCGCATCAAATTAGAAACTAAAAGAGGAAGATTTTAAATGTCATACATTCAGGAGCCATTATAATTTTCCAAGAATAAAGTAAACTGATAGCAATAGTTTGCACAGTGTTTCTTAGTGTACCCTTTTCAGTAGTGACTGAAGATCCTTAACAGAGTCTGGAGAGATGGCTCAGTGGCTCTGTTCTTCCAGAGGTCCTGAGTTCAATTCCCAGCAACCACATAATGGCTAACGACCATCTGTAATATGATCCGATGCCCTCTTCTGGTGTGCATGAAAACAGTATACTTATATACATAAAACAAATAAATAAATCTTAAAAAAAATAAAGAAGAGCAGTGGCTCTTCTAGAGGATCTAGATTCTATTCCCAGCACCCACAGCTCACAACCATCTGTTACTCTAGTTCCAGGGGACCTGATGCCCTCTTCTGGCCTCCACAGGTACCAGGCATGCATGCAGTGCACACAGATATATGCAAGCAAAAACCCATACACATTAAATAAAATGATACTTAAAAAATGGAGATCTTTGCCCGGCATGCTGGTGCATACCTCTAATCCCAGCACACAGGGAGGCAGAAGCAGGCAGATTACTGTGAATTTGAGGCAAGTCTGGTCTACAAAGTGAGTCCGAGACAACCAAGCTACACAGAGAAACCCTGTCTCAAAAAAAAAAAAAAATTAGTTATAGCCAGGTGGTGATGGCACATTCCTTTAGTCCCAGCACTCGAAGAGGAGGCAGAAGCAGGTGGATCTCTATGATTTTGAGGCCAGCCTGGTTTACAGAGTGAGTCCAGGACATCCAAAGCTACACAGAGAAACCCCATCTTGAAAAACAAAAACAATCAAAAAAGAAAGTTATAATTTCAATGCTTCAGTGGAGACATAACTCCCATTTGAGAAAACCCAATTTTTCTAAAACTGTTATTCCTCTCTTTAGAGGCGTTAAATTTTACAAAGCCTCATGTATTCACCAATCTTTCTTTTAAAGATTCGAGGAGCATACTGGTGTCCCCAGTAAATATCTCCATTGGAGTAGCTGAATATGTGATAAAGACAAGCTGGTCAGAAACACACAATGAGATGCTTTCAATATGGAAGGAAAAGAAGAGGTAGAATGCCAACCACAGCATTTTAAGGCTGAAAAAACTGGAAATGACAGGCATGATTGGGCTGGCCTTTCATTTTACACGGTTGCCTAATTCTGTAACACAGAGAAATAGTGTGGTGGTTTGAATGAAAATGGCCCCTCATAGGCTCATATGTTTGAATGCTCGGACCCCAGTTGGTAGAACTGATTGGGAAGGATTAGGGGGCGTGGTCTTGCTGGAGGAGGTGTGTCACTGGGGATGGGCTTCAAGGTTTCAGAAGGCCATGACAGTCTATTTAATGATCTCTCTCTCTCTGCCTCCTTATTATTGTTTCAGATGTAAGCTCTCAGCTGCTGCTCCAGCAGCATGCCTGTCTGCCCGCTGCCACGCTGGTCATGGACTCACCCTCTGAAACTGCAAGCCAGCCCCCAATCAACTTTCCCTTCTAAAAATTGCCTTGGTCATGGTGTGTTTTCACAGCAACAGAAAAGTAACCAAGACATAGGAATATGCTTGACCTCTTTATGTTGCTCAGACGTCATTTGCTACTACTATTTTAAATATTTAGTTATTTTTCAGATTAAAGTTTATTATATTAAAAAAGTTGTCCATAAAAGATCAAAATTAATCAGGCTCAAAGACTATACAAGTCAATAAAGTCTATGCAGTTAGCATAGTCGTTGGTATGGGGAGCTGTGGAGCTTCACATTGGATTTTATACTTTTACTCTCAAATATACTTTATGTCTCTCATCACCAAGAATGGAAAATCCATGACAGTTTGGGCTACCTTTTATATTCTCTTTCATAGATCATGTGTACTACCTGTATCCAGGCCTCCCTCATCCTGTAATATTTAGCCTCTCTTGTCCTCTTTTCTATATATAATACTGTGCCCACATACACATTTACATATATGCATAGTGACTAGACTCAGCATATCAGGGAGAACAGTTTTTTTTTTTTTTTTTCCTTCCTGAGAGTGTATTACCTTGTTTAATATTAGGTCCACCCATTGTCCTGCAGATTTTGTGATTTCATTTTTTTCCTTAAAGCTGAATAGTATTCCTTATCCTCCTCCCCCAAAGACAGGTTCCCCCTGTGTAACCCTGGCTGTCCAGGAGCTCATTCTGTAGATCAGGCTGGCCTCAAACTCACAGGGTCCACCTGCTTCTGTCTTTTGAGTGCTAGAATTAAAGCCGTGTGCATTACTGTCCAGCTCCATTTTTTTATACACAGAAAATTCTCATTTTCCATTCATCTGTCGATGGACAACTAGGTTGACCCCAATTCTTCACTAGAGTTAATAAAGCAGAAGTAAACACAGGGGTGCAAATGTCCCTGTGGATATGGTATGGAGTTTTCTGGGCAAATGCCCAGGAGTGAAACAAGGGTCATATGGTAGTTCTGGTTTTAATTTTTTGGGAAATCTCCAACTCGGCTGTATTAATTTCCACCCCTACTACTAGAGACTAAGAGTTCCTTTCTCTCCACATCTTCTCCAACATTTGTTGTTAGATTTATTGATGATGGCCATTCTGAATCAGGTGAGATGGAATCTCAAAGCAGTTTTAATTCACATTTTCCTAATGGCTGAGGATGTTGAACACTTTTAAAAAATAGTTATTGGCCATTTGTGGTTTTCATTTTGAAAAGTGTCTATTCAATTCACTTGCCCACTTATTGACAGGCAATTTCGTCTGCTTGGTATTTAGTTTCCATAATTCTTGTAAATTCTGGGTATTAGCCCCTTGTCTGAAGCACGGCTGGTAAAGATATTTTCCCATGCTGTGAACTGTTTGCTAATTGTGTCCTTTGCTGAATAGAAACTTTTTTTAAAAAAAATCTATTCTGTTGATACTTTGGGTTAGTTCCTGTTAGTTTGTGTTATTCGGTGCACTATTCAAAAAGTTCTTGCCCAACCCAATATCTTGACAGCTAACCCCTATGTTTCTTCTGGAAGTTTCAACGTTTCTGGTTTTAGATAAAGGGTTTTGATTCATTTTTGATTGATTTTTGTACTACGTGAAAGATAAGAACTAATATAAATATTTTAGTAGATTCTCATCAGCGCTCTAAGCTTCTCTTCCCAAACACTTGCTTACTCAGTCTCTGAAGTCTGATCTCTTATCTGTTGTTATAGCACAAAGTGGAATTTAAACTGTTGTTTCAGGTTTTTAAAATCTGAAGTAAATGGAAGGAAGGAGAAACAGTTCCCCGTCTGGCAGTACTGTGATTCCCGCTTCTCCTTCTCGGCAGCTCTTTTCAGCATCTGAACCCTTTTGCGTCCAATCCCTGGCTCACCCTCGTTGCTGGGAGACTGCGGTGAGCCCCGCCTAACAACCGTTGTTATGGGCGGAACCTTGTGACCAGCCGTGGAGCGCCTGCGGCGACCCAAGTCTCGGCTCTCGCGAGGTTTCGTGTTCTGGAACTCGCGGGGTGACGCTCTTCGTAAACTGCGTGGCGATGTGTGGGGACTGTGTGGAGAAGGAGTACCCCAATCGGGTGAGCAAGTGGGCGCGGAGAGCCTCCCGCGGGCTCGGTCTTCGGTCGACCTTCCTAGGCAGGCCAGGGCCCACTCTGCGGTGCTGTCATCCCGGGGACCCTGCTTACGGGGGCCGGTCCCCCGCCCTGGTGGCTGACGTCAGACGTCGTTCCGGGTCTTGTGTGTTGCTGGGGACAACAGGGAAACGTCCTGTTACCCACCCCACCTAGGTTAACAGCCTCAAAGCCTCAGTCCCTCTGCCATTCCGGCTTCCTCTTCCAGCTCGATTTGATCAAATTCATTTCCCTGATTCCGGCGCTGGGTGAACCTCTGAGGTCATGTTAGAACTCAACGTTTTGGTTTTTTTTTTTTTTTTTTTTTTGAGACAGGTCTCATGTAGCCCAGGCTGGCTTCAGACTCACTATGTAGCCGAGGATGGTCGTTAACATCTGATCCTCCTGTCTCTACCTTTTGATCGCTGACATTAAAGGCATGCCCCCTGGGCCCAATTTATAAGATGTTAGGAATAGAAACCGGAGCTTGGTGCTTGGCAGGCAAGCTGTCCGCCAGCCTCTTGTTCTAACCCACGTTTGAAGTGGATGGAACTGGTGCCCAAAGAGGAGCTATCACTAGCTCAAGTATGAGAGCCAAAACTAGATTGAGGTCCCCCTTTCCCGTCTCTTTCTCTTTTCCTTGCCCCTTCTCTTTTCATCCCTTCTTCTGGGTACTGAGGATTGAACCCAGGCCTGTACCACCCAGGCAAGCAGTCTACCAACGGACCTATACCCCTGCCTTTAGTTTAAGTCTTTGCTCCTCTCAGGCTTAGGAGGTTTTGAGGCTTGGCTCTTCTCATTCTCTTAGGGAAAACTTCATGCACGTTGATGTGTGTAGTCTGGATTGCTATGCTAGGCTCTAAAGGAGTGAGTGAGTACCAAGGCAGCGTCACAGCTGCTTAAGGTCTTGCAGTTTGGGGGGGAGTATGATTGACAGGATGCTTTTTAAATGTAGTAAAAGGGAAGACTGATAGGGGATAGGACTGTGGCATTTTCCATCCGAAGAAGGTGGTTTTCAGATGATGGTGATTGAGAGGGGAAACTGAAGGAAAAGAGCAAGATGAAATATCCTTTCATCGGTTGTGAGGTAAACGTCTTCATAGCTCTTTCTTTTAATATTTTGTGAGTTGCTAGATGGTTGTGGCGGCACTTGGGAGGCAGAGGTGGGCAGATCTCCCAGTTCAAGGCCAGCTAGGTCTATAGAGAGAGTTCCAGGACAGCCAGGGCTACAAAGAGAAACCCTGTCTTGAAAAAAAAAAATTTATTGTGAGTGATATGTAAGTCTTTTGAGATTTTTATGTAATACGACTTTTTATTATAGTGCAACCACTATGGTATATTAAAAAAAATGTAGCATTCATTACCGAATAAAAATGTACACTGAAATGATACAGGAGGGCTTATTCAGGAAAAATGCATGTGCACATTTCCTGGCAATGTGTATAAGCATGTAAAATCATTAGTTGTAGGGTAGCATAAAACTCGTGTTCATAAAAAGGAATATCATAAAAGTAGAGTCTTGTGCTCGCTTCGGCAGCACATATACTAAAATTGGAATGATACGGAGAAGATTAGCATGGCCCCTGCGCAAGGATGACACGCAAATTCGTGAAGCATTCCATTTAAAAAAAAAAAAAAAGTAGAGTCGTGAATGTGAATTAACACAAATCATTGGCTCTCATGTTGGAGTGGTTTGCCTCCCAGGCATATTTGACATTATCCAGAGACATTTTGTTTGTTTGTTTTTGGAGACAGGGTTTCTCTGTACCCCTGGCTGTCCAGGTTTTACTTTGTAGACCAGGCTGGCCTCAAACTAACAGGTCCGCCTGCCTCTGCCTCCTGAGTGCTGGGATCACAGAGTGCACCACTGAGCCCAGTCCAGAGATATTTTGATATTACGCTGCAATACACAGGACAGCCGTCAAAACAAAGGACCGCACGCCCTAATGTCGGTAATGTTGAGGTTAAGGAACCCTGAATTAGAAAAGGAAAGCACTAAAATTAGAATTAGGTCTGACTTTAGTCTGACAGTATTGATAAAAGGACACAAAGTTAAATTTTAAATCGAGCACACTAAAATGCAGTAAGACTGCTGGTTGGTTAAAGCAGGTTGGGAAGCAGGAAGTTACTATAAAGACATTGTATTGCTGGCCAATACACAGTGATCAAGGGTGGTCACATAAGGGCCAGAGAGATTGATCGCTCAGTGATTGGTGCTGTTGCAAAGGACCTGGATTCAGTTTCCAGCACCCACGTGGCCCCCAGCACTGTCTTAACTCCAGTTCCAGGGGATCCAACTCCTTCTGGTCTCCATGAGAACCAAGGATGCATTCATATACATAAAGTAAAGATAAATCTTCAAACAAACAAACAAAAAAAAGAATGGGGAGAAGCTTCTAGAATGTAAGAAGTGTTTTATCTCTGCTTTTATTATTTTTCTGTATTGTATCTTAGTTTATGCTTTTTTTTTTTTTAATCTAGAAAAGGGTTTTTATGACTGTTAATGATGAACGTTGTAGAGTGGGACCACAAGGAAAAGTTCCTTATGGAGGTTTTTTAACAGAGCTGATTAGGGGCTAGAGAGATGGGCCAGAAATCAAGAGCGTTTAATGCTGCAGCAAAGAATCCAAGTGCGATTCCCACCTGTCTTGTCAGGAGGCTCAGAGCAGCCTCTAACTCTGGCTCCGTGAGATCCAGTACTCTGGCTTCCACGGCACCTGCCCTCACTGTGCACACACCCACACACAGAGACAAAGACACACATAATTTAAAGTGTTTTAATCTTTAAAAAAAAGAGAGGCAGTCAGTTCATTCTTTTCTTTTTGTCCCAGAAGTAGATAGATAGCATAATTCAGAGTAAAATGATAGTACAGATTAAAAGGGAGGTTCACTGGGCTGGCAAGATGGCTTAGCAGGTCAAGGCACTTGCCTGCCGAGTCCTGCAAGTTGTCCTCTGACCTCCACATGTAACACAAGTGTGCACTCCCAAAATAAGTAAAATGTAATAAAAGACTGTCAACATTGAAGCGTGAAGGATAGAATAGTGACTAGAAAGTCTGGAGAGTGCCATTCTGGAGCATTCTCCTAGCTTTTATTATTTTTTAAATAATTAAAGGGCTGTCATGAGAAAGAATTAAATGCTTCTTTGGAATTTGAGAAGACAGATTTAGAAATAACTAGTGGGTAGATATTAAGAAAGTTTCCAGTGTAACTTGAGACACAGGATGGAGAATGATAAAGGAATTGAGTGCAGCCTTGTTCCTTAGAAGCTGAGTGACCATTTAGAATCTTCTGGTTAATTCCCATTGGGAATTCTTTTTCCAGAATCAGGGATTATTCTCCCAACTAACCTGGATTCTTTAAAAGACTTAAGTCATAGCATATATTTTTATTAATTTATTTTTTTATTAATTACAGTTTATTCACTTTGTATCCCAGCTGTAGCCCCCTCCCTCATCCCCTCCCAATCCTACCCTTTCTCCCTCATCTCCTCCCATATGCCCCTCCCCAAGGCCACTGATAGGGGCGGTTCTTCTTCCTTTCCATCTGACCCTAGCCTATCAGATCTCATCAGGACTGGCTGCATTATCTTACTCTGTGGCCTGGTAAGGCTGCTCCTCCTCAGGGGGAGGTAATTAAAGAGCCAGCCACTGAGTTCATGTCAGAGACAGCCCCTGTTCCCCTTACTAAGGAGCCTAGTTGGACACTGGGCCATCATGGGCTACATCTGTGCAGGGGTTCTAGGCTATCTCCATGCATGGTCCTTGGAGTATCAGGATGGGAGCCTACCACAGAGGGCCTCTGAAAGACTGCCCAGCAGGGTATCGAAGCAGATGCTGAGACTCATAGCCAAACTTGGGGCAGAGTGCAGGGAATCTTATGAAAGAAGGGGGAGATGAAAGACCTGGAGGGGAGAAGCTCCACAAAGAGAACAACAGAACAAAAAATCTGGGCCCAGGGGTCTTTTCTGAGACTGATACTCCAACCATAGCAAAGACTTATTTTATTATAATTAATTATGTGTGTATGGGTATGCACCATGGCACATTTTAAAGAATAGAAGCCACAATCCACTAATTAAACAAAGTGCAGGGTGGTGATTCATGCCTTTAATCCCAGCAGGAGGCAGACCCAAGTGGATCTCTGATTTTGGAAAACCTGTCTTGAAAAACAACAAGAACAATAAAATAATAATAGCTGTTAGGAAGCTCTTTTTGTTTTTAGAGACAGGGTTTCTCTGTTTTACCTTGGATGTCCTGGACTCGTTTTGTAGACCAGACTGGCCTTGAACTCACAGAGATCCTCCTAAGTGCTGGGATCACAGGCATGTGCCACCACACCTGACTTTAGGAAGCTTTTTCTTTAAACAATCTCTTTTTGTTTGTTTGTTCCTGGAAATAGTTCTGTAGATCGAGGTCTTTCTACATATCCCTGGCTGTCCTGTAGACCAGGCTGGCTTTGTTAGGAGGCTCTTAAGTACACAATAAGTGATATTTAGTTATTAATCTTTGGGTAGATGGTTTTCACACACCAGAACACACAGGACTGTGTTCCCGGTAGGGTTTTAACCTACTGGCCTGTCATGCTACACTAAGAACTTGAATTCAAGCGTGAATTTAAGCAAGAAAACGGACCACCAATTTCCTGAACCTGAACCCAGTTTTTAAAAATTATTTGTGTGTGTGTGTGTACACGGATGCAGGGCTGTGCATGTGCTGTGGTGAGTGTGTGGTGGGCAGAGGACAGCTTTCAGGAGTCCCTTGCCTTCCACCGTAGGTTTCAAGGATGGAATCCAGGCCATCAGGCTTGTATTGCAACCACTCTTACGCGGTGAGCCATCTCTAACCCCCAGCCCAATTTTAAATACTCAGTTGTAAAGCAATTTTTTTTTCCAGAAAAACCCTTTGCAAACCAGTTGCAACTAAAACTATATTCCATTTTCTAAAATGGTTACAAAATATTTTCAATACAATGTGAACGAAACTGGAGTTTCATGTATTTCCCTTCAGCTTTATACTCTGTAGTGACACAGCGGCACCACAGAAATGAACCACTAATTGAATCAGAGACAAAAACCTGTTAGTGATGTACAAATTAAAAATTACTGTTTATATGCTTCATTTAAAACTTAGCTACCCAAGTTCATATACTCAAAAATATCTAATGGAATTTCAATAATTTCTGGGTTGGATATATAGCCACTCTAACAGCTGTGTAGGAGTGGATTTTTAAAAATTATTTATTATTATTATTATTATTATTATTATTATTATTATTATTATTATTATTATTATAAGACAGCTTTCTCTGTGTACTCCTGACTGTCCTGGAGCTCATTTTGTAGACTAGGCTGGCCTCAGACTCCCAGATCTGCCTGTTCTTGCAGAAAACAGGAGTTCAGTTCCCACCACCCATAACTCCTATAACTCCAGCTCAAGGGTGATCCAAGATCTCTGACCTCCATTGGTACTTGCATTATCTACTTGTGCAAACCCACAAATAGACCACACACATACACAGAGTTTGTTTTTTTTTTTTTTAAAAAAAAAAAAAGGAAAACTTGGTAACTTCTTATAGAGTTCAATATGCCACTTAAAAGATAACCTATGTGACCTAGCAATTGAATTTGTAAGTATTTACACAAGAGAAGACCTGTATCTGTGCCAGACTTGTACGTGAATCTTTATAATTGCTTTTTTTCATAATTGCCCCAAAAAGAAGACAATTCAAATGCCCACCACCAGCTAAATACATAGAACACTACTTGGCAGTAAAAAGTAATAAAAAGCATAGATGTTGTGTTGAGAAAAAGAAGCCAGAAACAGAAGATATTCTAATCCATTTGTGTAAGTATGGGAACATGAAAGACTGGGGACAGAATAATATCATTGGGTCTCAGAAGTGCTGGGGATGCTGGAAATGGACTACAGAGAGTGAAGGAGCTTCCTGGGGAAATAGACATAGTCCATATTTTAATAAGGGTGGTGCTTACTTGTTACATACATGTATTAAAAGTCATTCGCTGCCCTACTCTGCTTTCTGTTGCTGCGTTAAACACCATAGCCAAAAACCAGCCTAGGGAGGAAAGGGCTGATAAACACCCTAGCCAAAACCAGCCTAGGGAGGAAAGGGCTGATTTGGTTTATATTGCCTCAGAGTCTGTGATGGGGGAAGTCAGGACGAAACCAGTGAAGCAAAGCTGCTTGCTTCGTGCTTTCTGTGCCTTGCTCAGCTTGCTTTCTTACACAACCTAGAACTCCTGCCATCTGCCCAACGGTAGTGCTGCCTTCAGTGGGCTGGCCCTCCCACATCAGTCATCAATCAAGAAGATGCCCCACAGACATGCCCACTGGCCAGTCTAATGGAGGCAGGCCCTCAGTTGGGATTCTCTATTCCACATCAATAGTGTCAAGTTGACAAAAACAAAGCATCACATTCACCTTTACAATAATATCTCAATAGTGTTTTCTTTAAAGAAATTAAAGTGTATCACTATTTCTTAATAGTTCCAAGTGTACAATTCCGAAGTTTGTTTGTTTTTCAAAGTGTCTTAAGTCAAAGTGTCTATGACATCATCCCTCCAAACTGTATGGTCATGTCTTGATTCCTGCTCCAGAACTCTTCTCTTCCTTAATTCTCAGAGTTAAGACCCCTCAGAAGGGAGAGTTTGTTGTGCGGCCGGGAACCAGGAGGGCTTGACTGTGGTGTTTAAGGTGGCCCTTCCTAAATTGACTGCAAGAAACACATTTGGCGCTCACCATCCCTGGAGCTTCATGTGGCATTGGGTGCACAGGTGCTTTGGAGAAATGATTTTTATATCACATTAACTATTAAAATGACTCAGTTGGGCAGGAGAGGCGGCTCAGTGGGTAAAGAGCTTGCTGTTCAGTCCCCAGACCTGGGTTCAATCCCCAGAACCAACAGAAAGGTGGAGCTCCACAGAGTTGTCCTCTGGCTCCTCCACACGAGCTGTGGCACATGCACACTGCCCCACCCCATAATAAAATACACTTTTAAATAAAAATATTCAGTGTTCCTGGCAACTGGATTGGATTGTCTGTTCAGTTTCTCCATGCCGGAGTGAAAGCCTCTGTCCCTGACCTCCATTCAACAGAAGCCTTTAGCTTCTCTGTCTCAGCCATATACACCTTACAGGCTGACTCTGGGATGCTTTGGTTTATTTGGTGGTGTTACAGGCTTTAGAAGAAGCTGTTTCAACAGGCTGTACACTTATGTTTAGCAATGACTCATTCGCTGTTTCTATCTTGATTGACTTAATTCTAGTGTTATGGCCGGTCATTTAAAGATACTTCTAACATTTACTAATTTCCTTTTCGTATTGAATGTTGTTTTTCTCTTCTATTTCCAAGTATTTGAACTTAATCTCTTATGTTTGCTCGGCGGTACAGGGACGGCACCGAGGCCTCACACGTGCTGAGCAAATGCTGTACTACTGAGCCCCATCCCCAGCCCTACTTCCCCCAAAGTCAGGTGTCCTTATAAGGAGTAATTGTGTGGGAAAGCTGGTGACATAAGAAAGTACTTGAAGCAGGTGTGTTCTGGCTGTGTCTTTGGCCTGTAGAGACTTTGAGTCTTGGTCGGTTTCACCAAAGATTTGAAAATGTAAGAGAATTCCTCTTCTCACACTCTAGGGGAGCACATGTCTGGAGAATGGGTCTTTCTTGCTGAACTTTGCAGGCTGTGCTGTGTGCAGTAAGCGGGATTTTATGCTGATCACAAACAGATCCCTGAAAGAGGAAGATGGAGAAGAAATAGTTACCTATGACCGTAAGTAGAGTTCGTTTTGAAGTGCAGATGCTAGCAGACATCAGCTTTCAGAAGTTGGGGTGTTGTACGGGTGTTCTGAGGGCACATTCAGTGTTGTGTTACAGTACATGCCTACTGGTAAGTTATTGAGTGGAAAATACAGTCAGGACCCCTTTACCCAGCGTCTGTCTCCACACTGTGCCTGACTTGTCGTGATCTTGTGATCTTCCTGTCTCTGCCTCCTCACTGCTGAGATTATAGATGTGTGCTGCCATGCCCAGCCCACTGTAAAATCCTTCTATCACCTTACACAGAGCCTTTTTTGTTGTTGTTTTTGTTTTTTGTGTTTTTTTTTTTGTTTGTTTGTTTTTGTTTTTTTTTGAGGTAAGATCTCATTTGTAGCTCAGGTAGTCTACAATTCATTCTATAGCCCAAGCTGCCTGGAACTCATGGCTCTCCTGCCTCAGCTTCCCAGATGCTGCCGTTAAAGGGATGAGCCACTCCTCCCAGCCAGGCATTTACTTTAAACCTTGGATTCACAGTATGAGTTTTTACTCTGACCATCTGTTTAATAGAGTGGTGTTCTTGAATAGCATGAGGTGTTCAGGGCTAGCCTGGTGTGCCTCACCCAACTATTACAGCGTCCAGGTAGTGGAAAGAGAATGATCAGAGGTCCAAAGTCAACCAGGGCTGTCTAGTAGGGGAAAGAGAGGGGAGGGGGGGAGGGAGTGGAGAGAGTGATCCAGCTTAGGCCATTTCACTCATTACTGAATGGCTCATTCCTGGCATGCTTTGGTATTTCCAGTTTTGCTTCTGTATTTTTATCTGGTCTGGCCTCCTGTCACACTGTCCATCTGCTTTTTCTTCATCTTGCTTTTATATCTGTGACCTTCCCATCCTCAACACCGGGAAATCACATGTACAGTACAAGTGAAAGCATCTGAGATTCATACTAAGAATTCCTGCAAATAAAGGAATTATACATGTTACATGTATAATACATGTACATGTTAGCATTCAGACACTATGACAAATACTTAAACTGCTTGCATCTCCTTCTTGCTTTTCTTCTGGTTCTTGGGTATATTGTGAATATGAATAAGGAACAGTTCTGATATTATTTTTAGAGACAAGTATGAAAAACACCAAGCTCTTAGAATAGGTTCAGAGAGTTTAAAATATTCCAGAAGGTATTTTTGTCTTCCTTTTAAAGCCTATATCCCCTTTAAGATGTTTTTGTCCAACGTAGCAGGGCATAGAGAGTAAGAGCCAGGTTCTGGGGCCACGCTCTTAGGTTAAGAATTCTGACTCCAAACCTATCTCTGTGGTCATCTGTTTACTTGATTATAGTGTGCCTTTGTGTCCTGACAAAGTGGTAATAATGTTATGTTCATTGAATCTGGGATTATGGGACTAGCTACAAAAGTATTTCAAGAGTCTCTGGCACACAGTAGCCACAGTTTATCGATTACTGTTACATTGGTTTTAGTAGATTCTTTTATTACTTCAACTTCCCTCTCATGTCCACTGCTGTTTTATTATGCCTAGTTACAGCTGCACGTTTACTGTCATTCCTGAGAATAACAGCTTTTGCCTCGCCAGATGGGTCCGCACTTCTAAAACACACACTGTTGTTAAACAGTGTTTTTTAAACAATGCTAGCAACTTTTTGGTGAGAAGCACCTTTACAAAGTCCCAGCTACTCTGGAGGTGAAAGGACAAGGCCTGCCTGGGCTGCAGAATGAATTCAGAGCCAGCCTGGGCAACTTAGAATGAATTCAAAGCCAGCCTGGGCAACTTAGTGAGACCTTGACTCAACAATGACAAGAAGTCTGGGAATGTAGGTGAGTGGTAGAGTGCCTGCTCTGGATTCAGTTCCTAGTACCACAAAAGTGAAAAGTGAATTATCACACCCAAGGTTCTGCTTATTGATTTCTGTAGGGAGCTTTCAGTGGCAATTAATATGTGTACATTGAGTCCTTGAGTTCAGGTCCTAGTTAGGTAAAGTTGTGACAGAATCTGGATTTAAGGTCAGTATTCTAATGGGTTTCTTGCTGTGTTAAATGTGACAGCGTTAAGATTCCTTCTAAGTATTATATGCTGAGAATCAATATTTCATTGTTTTGAGACGCTTCTCCAGACTTCATTGCATGTCTTTGTTTTGGCAGATCTGTGTAAGAATTGTCATCATGTAGTAGCCAGGCATGAGTATACATTCAGTATCATGGATGAATTTCAGGTAAGTGTACCTGGGCGTTACTGAGGACGGACTGAAAGTGCCCTTGAGCATCTGCACATGAGTTGTGTAATGGAGTGATAGCAGTTATCACACCTGTGCAAGCTGGGAAGCTCTAAAGGTGGAGAGATCTGTGCATCCTCACAGGAGTCCAGATCAAAGTATATGCCTTACAAATGGTAGGCCAGTCCTGTCATGTTAGTTCATTAACCATTGTGGATTCTTTCTTTAAAAAAAAAAAAAAAAAAAGGTTTTAAAGATGTGTTTGTGTGTGTGTGTGTGTATGTGTGTGTACACACGTGCGAACATGTCTGCCTGCAGGGGTGTGCGTGCATGCGTGTATCATGTGAATACCTATTGCCTGCATAGACCAGAAGAAAGTCCGAGATTCCCTGGAACTGGGGTAACAAATGGTTGTGAGCCACCTTGTGGGTGCTGGGAACGGAACCTGGGTCTTTTGTAGGAGCAGCAAATGCTCTTTTCATTGCTGAGCCGTGTCTCTGGTCTGCTTTTACAGGTTTTTAGCAATTACTGCCATGGTGCCTTTTTTCCAACTGCTGTGGGAACTGCACAGTTGGCTTAATTTAAGTGTTGGCTGCCGGGTGGTAGGGGTGGTATTGGCTCACACCTGTGATCCCAGCACTCGGGCAGGGTCAGGCCCATTTGAGTTCGGGACCACTCTGGTCTACTCTTTAGTCTTTTTTTTTTTTTTTTTTTTTGGTAAGCTAAATTGCAAGATGGGTATGGTTAGGTATATCAAAGTTGGAAGAGAAAACAGAGCCACTAGAGAAAAGGGGATTTGTAGTATCCATTTTCTTCCTGTCAGGAAAGCATGTGAAGAACTTGGGCCTGTGGTGCAGGCTCACAGTTGCTCGGCATTCACAGGTCTGATGGTCAGGAATTAAAACTGGACAGCAGCAGGACCTGGCTCTGGACAAACTGGGATCCAGAGCTCTTCCTCAGGGCACTTGTTTTCAAGCCTCAGACTGACTTTGTGTGAACTTCATATTTATCCACAAGATAAGACTTTCAACTGTCAAAGGAATTCTTTTCAAGTCATTCACATTTGGATAGTTATTTGCTTAGGAAAATAAAAGTTAATCAGGCATAGCAGAACCTATTACCTCCCAGTCATTTTTTGTTTGTTTTTGTTTGTTTGTTTGTTTTTTATTTTTTGGTTTTTTTTTTAAGAAGGGTTTCTCTGTGTAACAGCCCTAGCTGTCCTGGACATGCTCTGGCCTCTGTCTCACAGAGATCCACCTGCCTCTGCTTCCTGAGTTCTGGGATTAAAGGCGTGTGCCACCATGTCCAGCTCCCAGTCATATTTTTAAGTTTTTACTTTTTTTTTTTTTTTTTTTTTGAGATTTTATACTTTTGTGGGGGGATGTTTTGCCTGTGTGTGTGTCTATGTACTGTGTGCATGCAATGCCCACAGAGGCCAGAAGAAAGTGTCAGATTCCCCTGAAACTGGAGTTATAATTGTGAACTGCCACATGGGTGCTGGGACTTGGACCCAGGTTCTCTGGAAAGAGCAGCCAGTGCTCTTACTCACCATCTCTGTAGCCCCTAAATTTTACTTATTTTCATTGTGTGTATGAGTGTTTTGCCTGGATGGATGTGTACCACATTTGTGCCTGGTACACATCTGGCCCATGGAGGCCAGAAGAAAACACTAGATTCCCTGGAACTGGAGCCACACTTGGCATGAGCTGGCGTGTGGGTGCTGGGAACTGAACCCAAGTCTCCTGCGAGAGCAATAGGGACTGTAAGCACCCTTAACTGCTGAGCCATCTCCAGTCCCTCATATTTTTAAATGGAAAAAAGGAATGTGTCAGTCTGTTTTGGTTAATCTAAACATCTTGACCATAACTTTGTTTGTTTGTTTGTTTGTTTGTTTTTGCTTTTTCGAAACAGTGTTTCTCTGTGTAGCTCTGGCTGTCCTGGACTCACTTTTGTAGACCAGGCTGGGCTTGAACTCAAAGAGATCCAACTGCTTCCGCCTCCCAAGCACTGGGATTAAAGGGGTGTGCCACCACTGTCTGGCTTACCATAATTATTTAACATATAAAATTTATGCCTTCAAATATTTATATGAGCAAAATGAAGGTTCAGAGAATAGTAGTGGCCAAAGAAGAGTGAGCATTTCCTGTCCTGAAGGACACCTAGGTCTGTCTTTATGAGAGGACCAGTGCTTGCAGCTCTCTTCCATGTGCGCACATGAGGTCTTTAGAACCCCTGAATGGATGTGGAGATTGCCTGTTTATGTCCTGAGAGAGCTGTTGTAAAGTACTTCCATGAGACCAAAGCCCAGCTCATTTTCCTTTACAACTGAGTGCAGTAACCTCTGAACAGCCCCAATTACTCTGGGTAGACAAGAAAAGGGAAAAGGAAGATGGCTGCAGTCATAATGCCTAGATAATTACCACTCCTCCTGAAAACAGAGTCTCGGGGGCTGCCTCTGCCTCCAGTCTTATTTTACCAACATCTGCCCTTGCTCAACCCACATCCTGTACTCGGCCATCAGATGGTTTTTGAAAATTATTCCTTTGTACTTCCTCGTTGGCCTTTCACAGCCATCCAGCTGCAGCATAATGTCCGAGCTGCTTATCCCAAGGCTGTGGCTGGTCCAGCTTCTCTCTCACTCCCTCAGCTCTTCCCTATGTACTCCAGATGAAGTATTGTTTCAGCATCAACCTCTCCTTGCTTCTTCCCAATGGAAGAGCATTAAACTTCCCCTTCTTGAGTGCTACTCAACCTCATTCCCAGGAGGATCGCATTGTACTGTCTCCAGCATCTTTTTAGATTGAAAATGTTATATTAAGGCTATCCAGTGCCCTCTTTTGGCCTCTACAGGCACCTCCCTTACATGTACCCATCCACAGCACACACAAATATACACAGATTTTTTTAAAAATGTTTTAAAATTTTATTAAACATACTTAGTTTTTATTTTGTTAAAAATCATTTAAGCTTAATTTGTTTCACTCAGCTACTTCTGTGGCTCATTCTAGAAGCAAGTCTTTACCTTTTTTTTTTTTTTTTTTTTTTTGCTTTTTTACTTGAATAGCTTTGTTTCTTTTCTTTTTTCCTTCATTTTATTTATTGCTTTTTTTTGACACACATTTTCTCTGTATAGCCTTGACTGTCCTGGTCAAGTCCTTGCTTTGTAGACTAGGCTGGCCTTGAACTTACAGAGATCCACCTGCCTTTGCCTCTGCCTCTGCCTCCCAAGTGCTGGAATTAAAAGCATATGCCACCATGCCAACCTGTAAAATGACCTTCATTTTCATATGATTAAAACAACTTCTTCATAGGCTTTCTGTAGCCTGTGTAAATTATGTACTTTTTCCCATTTATAATTCTCTTGGTGTCTTTTCCAGAAATGGGTTTGTTAACCATTGTCTTCTTAAGTATTTTTTTTCTTGAAGTCTATACTGCTTGACTTTTTTCTGTCTTTTAAAGTAAATTCTAAGTGCTTCTTTGCTTTCTTCTCTCATTCTTTCTTTTTTTTCTTCCTTCCTTCCTTCCTTCCCTCCTTCCATCTTTCTTTTCTTCCTTCCTTTCTTTCTTTCTTGACAGAGTTTCTCTGGGTAGCCTAGGCTGTCCTGACTCCCTCTGTAGACCAGGCTGGCCTCGAACTCACAAAAATCTTACTGCCTCTGCCTCCCTGAGTGCTGTGATTAAAGGGGTGTCCCACCCCTTTAATGCCTGGCTCGTTCCTGTTTTCTAACGGCAAGACCACAGGAAGAAAGATGGAGAGAGTACAGAATACAACAGAAATATATTACACATGATTATAATATTTAAAATCTCTGGATGGTGTGTCCACCTCAGGGAATATGTGGGTGCTGTGAGAGGTGGGAGACAGCCTTCTGCTCCTCAGTAGGCCAGGAAAGAGGACAGGATGAGAAGTGGTAGGTAAAGAGCAAGGGCCTCTGAGTGAGCAGAGAATCTACGTGTACACCTGGGAGATTCTGCCCAGCCCACCTTTCCTCCAGATCACTACCCTCAGCCCTTTGAGCTCCTAGAAATGCATGGGGCCTGTTAGTTTCCCCAATTGGCCAGCATGGTAAAAAGTGACATGATCTCACTACCGCCCTGGTGGCACCAGGAGCATGTCCCTAGCATCTCAGCTTAGGATACTTTCCTGCAGAAGCACCATAATATGTGCTTAGATTCCACACCCTTTGTACAATACAAATTTAAAAGATGTGTGCGTTTTCCTGGGAATCTAACTGCCACATATATAACATTACTCCCATGGGAAATGGCTTTTGAATTCCAAATTGTTGACTGACAATCAAATTCACATTCCAGGCTGCCTGTAAATCAAAAGGTACAAGTATAACCAGTCTTACTAATTTAATAATTTTGCCAGATTACATCCAAGTTATGGGAGTTAGTTTTATAAAGGTCATAATAAGTTATTTCCTTTGTTCATGATTGGACACATTGCAAATCTTGGAAGCATTGACTAAAAACCTGACAATGATTAGATTAGTTGAAAGTTCAGCATGTTTTGGGCCATGCTTGCAAGGCAAGCACTGTTACCAGCTGAGCTGTATTCTCACTCAAAACTCAGCCATGTGTGTGCCTTCACGCCTCTTCCTGTCTAAGTCTCTGTCTCGTTGTCTGTCTCTCTCTTTCTCTCACCCTCTTACCCCCGCCTCCCAAGTGTGGGATTAGAACTGTTCTCCATCACACTTTGTTACTTTTGTCTTTGTTTCCAGGAAGAGACTGTCTACCCAATAGTGATGTCTGCTGGGTTCAGGCAGTGGAAGTATTGACAACAGTAAATACCTTGTAGTGTCTCTTCTCTAAGCTTTAGCCTGTATGCATTTCTGCTGGGTGTATAGAGGAGACTTTGAAATCATGAGTGCAGGGAGGAAGCCCGGTGGAAGGATGCCTGCCTAGTATGTACAAAGCTCAGGATTTGGCCTCCAGCACTGAGATCAATCAGCCACGATTAATTCGGGAACAGGCTGTAAGAAGCAGGCTGTCTGCTCTCTGCTGTCTGACTTGCCAGTTGAAATAGAAAGGGGCATGTCTTCTTTGGGATCTTTGTGCCCTTGTCACTGTTGAGCTCCACAGACCTCTTTGGTGACTGTCCAGACCAAAGAAACACTAATTGGCTGATCCATTTCCAAACAGCTAGCAATAGCAACATCAGGTGTGGGGGCACTAGTAGATTCAGCATAGACACTTATTTTTATAAACAAAATAAAAATATTTTAAATAAGAAAGCTTAAAGGAAATACATCTGTGACAGCTGTAAGAGCAGGACTTTGCCCTAAGGAATTTTGCCTAAAATAAAATCCTTTCTGTCATCAGTCTAGACATTTGTTAAGCACAAGATAAATAAAACTTCTTAGATACTTAAATAGATGAAATTCCATGGCATGCTAGTAAATTTAATGTAAATTTTTTTTATTTTCTAGGGCTCATAAAGACGGCTTTTCAGCCTAAGATTTTTGTCTCTTTTATCCTGCCTCCTGTTGCATATATATCCTGGAAAGGCAAGACCCTAAGAACAAGAATGTGTCCTTAGAAAAACACACCCAATCTCCTTTGTTATTTATCTTATTTATTCATTTTATTCAGTTACTCTGTGTGTGTGCGCGCGCGCGTGTGTGTGTTGTGTGATGTGCATTTTTGCCATGAAACATGTATAGAGATCAGAGGACAATCCTCAGAAGTTTGTTCTCTCACTGTGTAGGTTCCTGGGATGCAGCGCAGGTCACCAAGTTTGCACAGCAAGTGCCCTTTAACTGCTGAGCCATCTTACTGCCCGTATTCAGTGTTTTTGTTTTGTTTTTCACTTTTGGTTTTTCGAGACAGGGTTTCTCTGTGCCTTGGCTGTCCTGGACTCCCTTTGTAGACTAGGCTGGCCTTGAACTCACAGAGATCTGCCTGCCTCTACTTCCCAGAGTGCTGGGATTAAAGGTGTGCACCACTATACCTGGCTCCTTATTCAGTTTTTGTTGTTGTTGTTGTGTTATTTTTGAAACAAGGTCTTGTGGATTCCAGGCTGGCTTTGAACTTCTGATCCTCCTGCCTCCACCTCCTGAGTGCTGGGATACAATTGTGTGTCATCATGCCTAGTTGTGCAGTGCTGGTGATTGAAGCCAGGGCTTTGTGCATGCTAGCAGGTACTTCACCAGTTGAGCTACATGCAGCCCTGGTCCAGAGAGATCTTCGTTAGTTTAAATAGAAGCACTAAGCTAAATATATATGCTTTCTTAGTCCAAGAAATAGCCATTCTTATACACATGATAAGAGTTTACATAATTCTTACATAAAGAAAAGTCTGCAGGGATATACAGAGTAAATCTAAAGCATTGCTAACAAGTGTTGAAAAACTAATGTGCAGGAAGATTATCAGTGACAATTTGTAAGAAAGCTTTAGCAAGCAATCATCTATAGAGCATCTTTCTCCCTGCCCCCTGAGGTAATGCTGTGCTTTGTCTTGTTTTAGGAGTATACCATGCTGTGTCTGTTATGTGGCAAAGCTGAAGATACTATCAGTATTCTTCCTGATGACCCCCGACAAATGAGTCTGTTGTTCTAAGCCTCCTGCAGTGCTGTTGTAACTATGTTGGGTTGGTTTAAAATATAGCAGCCTAATGGTTTGTCTAATAATGAAAGTTCTTTGTATGTTTTCTTTTCTGCTTAAACTTTCCTATTTGGAGGAAAAAGCAATTTGGAGTATTGTTTTCTGGAATTGAGCTTCTTTGCTAAAGTCCCCTGTCCACATTAGTGCTGCCAGAGTGAATGTGTTTGCTAGTGGTTATTCAGCTAGAAGCAGAGCACCTCTGCACTCAGATCTGACAGATTTCCTGTCAAAGAAACCCAGGGCCCTTTGCAAAAGTAAATGATGGAATGGGGCAGAAATTCTACATGGTGAACTTAGAGCATTTTGTGACACCTACACACACAAAACCAAACAAATAACAAAAAAATCCCACATCCATTAAGGCAGTGCAGTGGTTCTCAACCTTTCTAATGCTGTGATCCTTTAACACAGTTCCTCATGTTGTGGTGACCCCAAGCCATAAAATTATTTTCATCGCTACTTCATAACTGTAATTTTGCTATTGTGAATTGTAATGTGAGTATCTATATACAGGATATCTGCTGTGTGACCCATGTGAAAGGGTAGTTTGATCCAAAGGATTCTGGACCCACACCTTGAGAACCGCTGGATTAAGGGAATGGTCAGTGAACACAGCTTTAATAATTTGAAAATAAGCAAATTGATATTTTGAATTATAGCCCAGAGTATGCACTAAATACCCATAGGTGCATGCTGATAGCAGTAATTGGGTGGATGGATAGATGGACAAATAAACAGGGGAGGAAGAGAAGGAAGGAGGTGCAGGGGAAGGGGTATTTCCCATGACCTACTTTGTCAGTGTGGGCTGTGCACATAGTGACTCCTTCTGAAGAGCAGCATGGAAAGAGAGGAAAGAGAAACCTAGCAAACACTGGCACAGCCAGGTGGTCAGGGTTAATATTGTCATCCATAAGCCGTCTTGATTTGGGTACCCTTCATATGATGAAGTGTGAAGGTCTCTATGGTTTTCTTCCTATCTGATCACGAGAACATGCAAATTCAGATTCCCTGACCAGTGTCTCTCAAAACTGACCAAGGTCTTCAAAAACGAGGATGTGAGAACTGTTAGGAGGCTAAGGAGGCGTGGTGGCTAATGCACTGCGGCCTAAACGGAAGCCTATCCACAAGAAGCACAGGCCAGAAAACAGAAATCGGAGCCAAGAATACACTGTAAGTGAATCGGATTGTCCCATTTCCTCCAGAGGGATCGTAGAATGTGTTATGTGCATAACCGAAAGAACCCTGACCTAGCGGTCCCAGCACTGACACCCTGTCTGCACTGTCCTGGGGAATCAGATAGCCCGTAAACAGAGCAGTGCTCTGGGCTTCAGTATCCTGTTTCTGTAAAACTGGGCTAACAGAATGTGATCTTGTACTCTTTTTGCAGGACTGATAGGAGACCCAAATGAATTAATGAATGTAAAATACTTTGGAAAACCTATAAAGTTCTAGATACAATGATGTACCTTCAGTTCTTAGTGTAACACCCAGGCTTAAAGGGAGCAGGCATTAGAAACAGAACTGTTTCCTCATTGTGGCTAAGGGTTCGCCACTAAGGCACACAAAAAGTGAGCAACTGTGCAGTGTTGATTCCAGGGAGCCCTTCTTATATTGTAGCGGCAGTAACAATAGCGGAGCGCGTGCTGCTCTGTACAGTAGCCACTGGAAGCACTTACTTACACTGCCATGAACATGGTGCCATTGTCACTCCAGTTTTGGAGCTAGGAAGAGCCTACTTGATGACATGAGCAGCTCAGAGTCACTCAGTCGTCACAAGGACCCCTTCCCAGCAGTGGTGCTGGCTGAATGTGAGGCATAAAGCTCTGGTGAGGTTGGGAAGAGGTCAGTTCAAGGTGTCATTGACAGCCCTCTGCAGAACCCAGGCATGTCAGACAAAGACTTATTATTCAGAAGGTTAAGTCAGCTGCTCCAGGGAGGGCAGGTGGTTTCTTCCTGGAAAATGCTTTCCATTTCGCTACAAATCTATATCTGACCTGCTGAGGAAACCGTTTGGTGAAATGAATCCAAAAAGCTGAGAACAGCTTCATTTCTGTAAATAGCAGCAGTGAGTGATTACAGCCCCCAAGGTCCCTTTTGGAGTCTGCCGAAGCTCTGGCGAAGCTATTGAGACTGAAGAGTGTGATCCTGTATACCCCGCTGACACCTCATCTACCACAGAGTATTATCCATCTATTTTGGATATAGATTACAGCATTTCAAAACACAGGATCCTGTATTCCACTATTATTCAGCCAACCTAGTGCTGTACCTTGTGATACTCTGGTCTTGGAGAATTCTTCTGGGGCTCTAATGGAAAATAAAGACGTCTTAAATCCAGTTCCACTGATTTCTCATTTTTCTGTTCAAATAAAGGAAAGCCAGACGAATTCATTAGTCTTTACTAGTGAAAGGAGGTCACTGTGGGCATTAGAATGTCAGCTGTCTTGGCATCTTTTTCTACTCACCGTATGATGACCAATCAGGAGTCTACCTGTTTTGCCTTTTATTTTTATGTGTGTTTTGTTTGGTCTTCATGTTTTTACTTTTTTTAAGTTTCATATACTATATTGACATATTCTTTTTCTTTTCCCAACCCCTTCCAGATCCTCCCTGACCTCAATACCCACCCAACTTCATGTTTTCTCTCTCTTAAAAAACCAAAACCAAAAACCCAAAACAGCAACAACTACCAAAAAATAAACAAACAAACAAATGTGGAGTCTGATTGTATTGACCGACTACTGAGCATAGGGTCTGCCCTGGAATGAGGTTAATATACCCAGTGACAGTTCATTGAAGACAAGTGATTTTCCTCCTCCCAGCATCGATCAATTGCAATAGCTTCTTGGCTAGGACCTTGTGCTCACTTCCCCTTCTCAGGGCTGGAATTCTGCCTGATTTGAGCTGTGTGGGTTGATCATTTATGTGTGTGTTTTGAGACAGGATTTCATTATGTAGCCCTGGCTGGCCTGGAATTTACTAGTTAAACCAGGCTTGCTTCCTAGAGATGAGTGATCGATACCTTCATTCCTGAAGGGTGTATGCTCTTTGTCACCCGGCCTGGATTAGGTTGTTATAATTCCCCTTTGACTTTAATCACAGGACATAGCAGCACCAAGTGATGTCCTAAAGCAGTGCTCAACCTTCCCAATGCTCCCTAATCCTTCAATATAGTTCTTTTGTTGTAGTGGCCCTCCAAACATGAAGTTATTTCATTGCTACTTCATAACTAATTTTGCTGCTGTTAAGAATCATAATGCAAATATTTGATATGCAGGATATCTGATAGGCAGCCCCTGCAAAAAGGGCCATTCAACCCACAAAGGGCTTGAGAATCACTGCTCTAAAGGATCTTCTTCCCAGATTCAGTCATTCCTACCTCCACTGTGAAAAAGCAATCCAAGTCCCCCTTGGTGATCTGAATCAATCATCCCTCCTAACTGTTACTCCTGCCTTAGCCTGTTGGCTTAAGGTCATCAGAAGCCCCAAGTGACCACAAGGAGCTCTGAGCTTCTATTCAGTGACATGTTTGAGTCCTGGCAGGAGCACCACCAACTCTGGAACCAAAGCTTCTAGTCAAGTAGAACTGAAGGTTGCTGGAACAGGAAGCAGAATTTTTTTCTAATGGGTCACTAGGGGTGATAGTGAGTGGAACTGATTTCTTTTGCACCCCTTGATTTCTAGACCTGTGGAATCCTGGCTATGGGAGAAACTGTACCATGTATTGGATCCTAATTCAAAGCAAGTACCACCTTCTTCTGGAGAACCTGGGCCCAGTCCTTCAGGCTGCTGCCATTAGTTGACACTTTAACTGTGTCTTCCGAAGAACTTTGGGGTTCTCTAGATGAACATAACTTACAGAATGAATCCATTGAGAGAGAGAAAGGGAATTGCTGTGGTCCAGCTAGCTAGTCCATCCAGCAACCCACTTTAGAGAGAATTCCCCATGGAGTCGATGTGAATAGTGCGCACAAAGTACTCAATGCAGTGTGTGAAGGGGCGGATTTCAGTGACTGGTATTTTAGATGATGGTGGTTAATGGTGCTTATAAGAAAGGTCTAGGGTTCTCTCGGTATTCTTTAAGGTAAGATGTAGCTATGGAACGTAGTTTAAAAGACCATAAGTTATAACCACTCATTTTAGTGTGAGTATCTGGGTCCCCTAAAAGCGCCCCCAGGCTTCTCTGGGAGAGCCCTCAGGCGATATGGCACTGCTCTGGATTGGGCAGCTTTAGCTCACCACTTCGGCAGAGCTTATTTGTGAGACTTCTTCCCCCTCCTGAGTGTCCTCCGGAACGTTGATGAGAAGAGGTTGTTTATTCAGGGAAGTGGGTGATTTCATTAAATCTTGGTCTTGCCTGCTCACGGCCACAAGCTACTTTTGAGGATAAAGTGTGGAGAAAGGAGATGAAGAATGAAGGAAAGCAACCTTTTCTCCTCATCTTAACAATAGCATCATGAAAGGCCATCCTGCCTCTCTGCCCACTGCTAAGAAAACTTGTCTGAAAGCAAACAGCATTAATTCTGCCCAAGCGAGGAGACTTCCTTCTATCATTTTTGTCCCTTCTGAACTTTTTGTTTTGTTTTTTTTTTCAAGACAGGGTTTCGCTGTGTAGCCCTGGCTACCCTGGACTTGATTTGTAGACCAGGCTGGCCCCAAACTCACAGAGATCCACCTGCCTCTCTGCTTCCCATTTGCTGGGATTAAAGGTGTGTGCCTTTAATGCACTTGTGCTGGACGAGGAATCTGGGGCATCCAGACAAAGCCGTTTGGCACACCTGTTCTCAGCGAGTAGCAACCATGTGGGAAGATTATAAACACTCCAAAGCGCCTCTCTGTCCCCACACTCAGGGAGGAAGTAAATGCAATCACGGGTCTGTTTGCTTTTGTCCCTCCCTCCAAGGGAGCCCGATGCCTCCATTTGCCTTGTGCCTGGATTTTTGAGGGTGTGAGCTTGAAAAGAAGAAAGGTGGAGTGTGAACTTCTGTTTGTAAGCCCGACAAGCTGGATTTAACCTCTGGAGTCCGCATGGTGGGGGGAGACTCTGCAAGGTGTCCTCTGACCTTCACATGTCACAGCACATGCCCTTACACACACACACACACACACACACCTGTGTGCTGTAATTATAGAAACAAATTTAATAAAATAATCAAGAAAAGGATAAAGTGCCTTTGTGTTCCTGGTAACTGCACTTTCTACAACCTTGCTGTCAGTAAAAGTTGTCAGCTGGACATGGTGGTACATGCCTTTCATCCCAGCACTCCGGAGACAGAGACAGGCGGTTTTTCATGAGTTGGAGGCCAGTCTGATCTCCAGCACAGCCAGGGTTACACAGAGAAACCTTGTCTTGAAAAACAGAAAATAAAAAAGTTATCAGTTAATGTTTAATGAGTTCGGGACCCACAATGCTGTGATGTCTTCCTGACTGTGGATTGTAGTCTAACAGCCTCCTAGTCAAAGATGGGGCCTGCTTTCTTTTACTTCTCTTCATTCTACTTTATCACTTCCTCTTTTTGCTGGGTTCCGAAGGAGCCATGAAATGAGAAAAGTAATTTTACTGCAACTCTAGCTGTCACGGCAGATCTTGACCAAAGCCTACTCTAACAGTAACTGGGGTGTCCCCTTGACCGGAGCCACACTTTACCACACCTTCGTCAAGAAAGAAGACCCAGGGCCAGCAGGATGGCTCAGTGAGGCAAGGCCAGTGACCTGAGTTCCATCCCTGGAACCCAAGGTAGGAGAGATGCAACTCCTCAGAGTTGTCCTCTGACCTCCGCACGTGAGCACACGCGTACACAGAATTAAATAAAATACTTGAAAGTTTTAGAAAGGAAGACACAAAGACCCAGGCCATTTCCACACCTGCCTTTTATTGGACTCTAAAGCAGGCTGCCTTTGGGCCCTCCACAACTTCTCAGACATCTCCCGTAAGGGTTTAGGAAGGTGCCATCATTCTGTGAAGGCCCAGAGGCTGCCCCAGACTTAGAACCCCAAATGGACTCCCCAAGAGCCTTGAGGGAGTTAAGACAGGCAGGCAGAGAAGGCAAGGTGCTTCAGTGGAGGGGTTAACACCAAGGGAACCGCGTCAGTCCCCCAGTGTCTCCTGAGGGTACACTGAGTCCCGAGGAAGAATGCGTGGGGCCTGGAAACGGGGAAATCCTCGCTGAGCAGCCCCCATCTAGATGGCAACTTTGAGGAGACGCCTGATGTCGGGCTCGATGTTGATGGTTTGGAAGGTGCGGCTGTAGCGGCGGAAGGGCTCCCCCTCTGGCCCTATCAGGAACTTCTCAAAGTTCCAGGACACGTCCGAGCGGCGCACGGGACTCCAGGCGATGAGTTTGGGATCGGTCATGAGGGAGAATGGGTCGTCGTAGGGGTAGGGCAGCTTGTCTTTCAGGTAGGCAAAGACAGGGTGCTCGTTCTGCCCGTTGACCTCACACTTTTGGGTAAGAGTGAAGGTGGGCTGGTAGCCACGCCCAGGGCGGACGTACTTGAGGCTGTTCAGGATCTCCTCATTCTGACAGTTCTCCTGGATAAGACAAAGATCCGTGAGAAAAGAAAACCAAGGACTCACCAGTGCAAATCTCACTCTTTCCTTTGTGTGTGCATGCGTGTCTTGCACGTATGCCTCCTGTTTCTTTGTTCGCTTTGTCTCACTCCTCTCGGCCGTCGTGTTGTTGGTTTCTATTTTTTTTTACATTCATTTTAGTGAGTGCCACTTTGCGCATGTGAAGGTCAGAGAACGACTTGCAGAATTCGCTTCTTTCCTTCTACCACGTGGGTTCTGACGATAGAACTCATCAGGCCTGGTGGCAGAGTGCCTTTGCCCACTGAACCCTCTCACCTGCCGTGGCTTTTGGTGGAATGCTAGCTAGGCCACACTGAAAACTTCCCTCAGTCTCACAAGCTAATCCCCCATGCATTGAAATGAATAAGTAAATAAATAACTAATTCAAGATTGAGCACTTTCCAACAGTTGCTTCTGACCCTAATCCACCCTCAGCAATTACCAGTGTGTTTAGCGCTTCAGGGAACCTTGAGTTCAGGGAATAGAAGGAAAGGAGGCTCAGTCATTCATAGAACCTAACCTTCTACCTCTTTCCCTACAAATGCTTGCGCATGCACACACACACACACACACACACACACACACACACACACACAAACTTCCTACCACCATTTTTCCTTTCCTCTGTCCTGATTGTGCTCCCTTCCGGTTCTGTGGGTTTTGAGTGCATCCTACATCCTACACTGCTCATGGGTCAAGGGTGAAAGTAAGACCCAGGTGAGTGATGTTTAAAACTTCCCAAGCTGCTATCTGGAGGCCTCTCGCACTCACGTCCGCTCAACTATACTCAGCTATGAATGGTTTAGCTCAGAACCGTCCTCTGCCTTTTCTCTCCCACCCCCATCTCCCTTGTCCTACCCCATTCCAAATGCCAGGGAGGACATTTATTTTCCAACCCCCTCTCCCAGCTAAGAATCGCTAGCTCCCTCTGAGAGAAAGTGCCTGCCATTGACCTACTAGACCTTAACGCCGTCAGTCCAGGCTCATCTCTATGACATCTTATCTCTAGTACAAATGGCTGGCTGGCTCCTGGCACGTTAATGACTCCTTCCAGCAGCCAGCCAGCCACAAGCGAAATTTAAGGCCAGGGTCCTCCTGGGTTGAGAAATGCCTCCAATGAGGTTTCGCCCTTTCTCTTTCTCCCCGGCAAAGACTGAATGGAGAATTGAGCGGTAAGGATCTGTGAGCATAGTAATGGCTGGGTCTCTTGTTTATCACGGCCATCTTTCCTGTGTATATCACAGCCATCCCTCCTGTGTCCCTCCTGCCACTGTGGGTTGAGCTATGCGGACTCTAATTAGAGAGTCCACTTAGGGGCACTTGGCTTGCTTGTACAGCTAAACCACAAATAGAAACAGAATTCCTAAAAGATAGCTTGAGGTGTACGGGCTGAAGCTCTGTGTTAACTTGAGCCACTATTAGAGCCAGCCAGGTACACCTGCTGCCCAGAGGAGGCGTGGGCATGCTGCAGACCTTTCGCTTCTCCCGCATTCCTTTTCCAATTTGCTGATTTAAAACAAGGCTTTAAATAAATAACATTGTTTATGTTCACACACTACATCTTTCTGGTCGCTTCATGTGCCTTATTCCGTGAGTCTCACAGTAAGCTGATAAGCTAAGTCAGCTTATATTAAATCAATACATGAGGAAACTCAGAGAACTAAGTGTCTCCTACAAGGGCATCAGAACCATTAAAGGGTAGAACCAGGGCAGCAGGAACCAAAGACCTCCAAGTAATTGTCAGCTTAATCCCAATTCTTTGTCTAAGACAAGTTCTCCAGGCCAGGCTGGCCTCAAGCTTGCTGTAGTCAAAGGATCGCCTTTAATTTCTGATCTTCCTGCCTCCATTTCCCAAGTGCTGGGACAATAGGCAAGTTACTGCATCTGGTTTATGTAATGCTCGGCATCAAACCCACGGTTTCATGTACGCTAGGCAAGAACTCTACCAACTGAGCTACATTCACAGGCCGGTTTTTGAGATCTTGCTGTGTAGCCCAGGTTAGCCTCAAACTCACATCAATCCTCAGCCTCCACCTCACCTGCCATTCTAGGAATTCAGGAACGTTCCACCATGCCAGGACCTCTGGAAGAGCAGTTAGTGCTCTTAACCACTGAGCCACACCCCAGCCTCAGTTTGATTCTTAACCTTCTATTTTCTCCACATATCCATTCAAAAAGAATTAATGAATGACTTTGTTGGTACCCAGAAGAGACCTGGTGGCAACCTTCACAGAATATTCTGGAAAGTTATACCTACAATATTTAATCTCAGACCGTATCTACTCCCCTGTGCTTTTCCACATTCACCTAGACCTAGATTGAATATCAGCTCCAGATATTCAAACACACAGACATTCATCCCTTTCTTTATCCCACTCAAGCTCCATCAATCAACTCCTCGGGTAGAACCCAAGGGACCTCTCACCTGATGTCCAAATTGGTTGCAAGGGAAGCCAAGAATCACCAGGCGCCTGGGAAAGCGACATTGCAACTCATTGAGCTGGTTGAAGTCCCGGGTCGTTGTTCCTCAGAGAGATGCCACGTTCTCAATCAGCACTGCCCTGCCTCGGAACGTGTTGAAATCTATCTTCTCTCCATCTAGGCTGATGGCACTGAGGTCGTAGAAAGACTTGGCAATGTAAGCCATGGTTGATGTGCCGTGAGCCCTGGCCCGCTGTGTGGGCCCAACTAAGTCCAGGAGTGGATGGAGAGGAAGGAGGAGCCAGGAAGGACAAGAAAGGATTTCACTGCTTTTGAGCAGTCCCAGGATGACTTAGCAAAACAGGCACCCACCTGGGGACTGTTTGAACAAGGCTGTGGCTCTTCCTATTTACAGTCTCTGAACAAAGCCACCTTCTGCCCCACCCTACTGGCAGCCTGGAAAGGGCCTATTTGATATCTATGAGTGGATGTGAATAATTCACTCCTTGCTGGAAACCAGAGCCTTAAAGGTCAAACGGGAGGAAAAGAAGGGAGGGGGCATGCAAGATTGACTTCTACTTGCCCCAGCAAGTTGTGTTTACCTAGCACAGACATTTTTTAAAAGTGGGTTTATTGAGCACCAGTCCCTGAATTGTGAGAGGTCAGAGGTGCCCAGGTCTGAATTGGGCCTGGTGTCCACCTGTCTCAAATGAAGCTGAAAGATGTAGACTAGTTTTTATGTTTCTGCTTCCTACAAGCAGAATCAAAGGGACCCTAGACTGTGCCCTTTTCTAGAAGCAATGCCAGGCAGAAGGGATGAAATTGTGTTTTAGAAAGCCTTACGGTGAGTGATGTTCTTGTCCTGGAGAACACTGAGGCCTTCGTTCCTGCACTGGTCCGCATCCTATGTTAGAACCTCCACCTCCATTCCACACTCCCCAACCAGTCGTGAGAATGGAGTCCTGGCATAGTGACCAGGAGTCTTGGAACAGATGGTAAATTCTGGGTAGACAAATTGTACCTATCTCCTTCTCAGACAAAAAGGTTCAGACTCCGAGACTTTCTGGAGGTTTGTGTGAATGTGTGACCATCTCACAGGAGGAAGCAGACTGGAAGGCAAAGCAGCTATGAAGACATCTTCAAAGCCAGCCATTACTGTATGGTGGGATATCTTTGGCCTGCTGAGGGCTGCATTGAGACCCATTCTTGGAAGTTCATAATAGCTGAAAAGACCACAGTGCTGCTCCATTATCCAAGCATTGGCCAACTGGACAAGGAACTTTTAAGAAACACTTGATTTCTCCATCAGTAAAACTAACAATTAGGTTTATCCTGGCTATTTTAATAAGGCAAATATTTCCCAGAGAGGATTTTCACAGGTACATATCCATTCGGAGTGGTCTCAAAACAGCCAGCAAGGCTGGGGCAGCTAGTTCTCAGGATTTGATTTGAGGCAAAGAAATAACTTGTCAGGGAGTGCCCAGCAATTCTGTCTCATAACTTGTTCCATATATGTTTAAGAGTGTGAGATTCAGTCTCAGCTCACAGCTCCCTAAAAACAAGTGTCCATTACCCAAGTGGGGACGGAGTCTTTTGAAGCCATGAGTGGTGGCAAGATATTAAGTATCCTGGTACTGGACAGAGTCCTTGGTTACAGCCAGTAAATGTCCCTACCAAGCTATGGAGTCAGAAGAATGTGGCAGGAATGTAAATAAGAACTTGATAGTAATCTGCCAGGTTTCTCTGCCACCTAGAGCTTCCTCCAGCACCCCAGGCTTCCAGAGAGAGAGATGCCTTTTGTTTGCTGCTCCTTTGCAAGCCCTCAGGCAAGCCATGAGTCTTGAGTATGGAATGAATAGCTTTGTACTTCCTCTTCTCCAAGAAAACATGGGGGCCTCATGGGTGCAGTAAAACTGTTGAGGTATGCCTAAGATTATCTGTCTCCATGTGTACACAGAAAAACCTACGTGGGCAGTTCTCTGCAAATGAGAATGGCTTGTAGAGATTTTTCTAGATAGGTATCTAGAATCCAGATTCTAGAAGAGGCCAAGGCACTGGTCTTCAGGCACAACTCTGCTATTTGCTTGGGGCCCTTGGTCAAGTCTTTAAAGCTCTCTGAGAACCTGTTTCCTTAACTGTTGAACTCATATAAAGATAACCGCTCCCTCCCACAGAGGAAGTATTCAGAGTTACGGCAAGGGCTCTTTAGAGTGCAGAGATTGGGGACCACAATTGCCCTGATGTTTCATTCCTTCCTTCTTCCTTCTACGCTTACTCCCATGACTGTCTCCAATATCCGCACCTCATCTTCTCAGGTTCCAGTCTGCTTCTGCTCCCATGAGGTATTCGATGGCATAAATCTGAAACATTAGCCAAGCCTTCCTAATGCCTTCAGGAAGGACTTTCCTGATCCACCCCCAGCAGATGGCCACCATCTTGCCTTTAAAGATTCCCCACTCCCCGTCGTAAGCCTCCTCCTGTGAGTTCACAGAAGGGCAGTGGAGGTTTTGTTTTGGACTCTTCTGCAGGTGTCACTAGGGAAGACAGACAAAGCTCACCACTTCCATTGTTATCCTGTTGTGGCTTCAGGGTTCCGGGGCCTCTTCTATTTCTCTCTGCCTCCCGTGTCACCACCAAGGTCCCAATAACACCTTCTCCAAGAGATTCATACAGGCATGCACACCTATGGTTTGAAATATCCTTTATTTTGTAAACATCTGTGTTTAAAATAGATGAACCCTGCTCACAATTCATATAATGGACCCAAGACACAGTACACGAAGTTCACCCATTACAGGGAGATAGGGGGACTCAGGTGGTGTACCAGGGCGAATCGATCTCAGGCCAGAAAAGCCTGCTGGACAGTTGAGGCCAATGACACAGCCCAAGCCACCCCTGCCCCCAGACTGGCAGTTAGGGCGAGGCAGACTCCGGAATAGAGCAAGCACAGGTATACTCTGCCTCCCAGCTTTTCTGCCATACTTCAGAGCTCTGACCAGATGCAGAGTCCACAGAATCCCAGCCCCGTGTTTTCCTTCCCAGATGCCTTAGGACAGCGAAAACCAAGTCCTTTCTTGAAGGGCTGGGAGAGCAAGACAGTGACACTTGCCACAGGTTCGGGCCATTGTCCTGTATAAATCCTCCTTGGGTCCCTGGCTGAAGGCAGGTCCGCTCACCTGCTGGATGACTCAGTCAGTCATGGTCCAATCTCAGTCCTGGCTCTCTGCCTTCCTCATTAGTCAACAAAGGACTACTGTTCCCACTTCTTTTCCCTCCACCAGAAATCCCGAGCTGCTTTCTCCTGCCGCCTGTTTCCTGGTTCGCTAAGTCAGGAAGTAATTTCCATTGATTGCATTATAACCCTGTTTTGGGGAGACTTAAAGGGCGTGAGGCTCTTTATCTTCCCATCTGAGCCCTGGATTTGAAAGGTCCCTGGTCAGTGAATGCTCAATCAATGCCCAGTTCTTCCTTTGCTTTGGCTCCTGCCCAAGCCACACAGTGCATCTTGGGACTAATTTCTTACCTGAGCTCCTCCCACCTTGGGAATGTAAGGACAAACCCTTGCAGGGTTTTTGGTTTTTTGTTTTTTGTTCTTCCATTCTTTCAGGGGCTTTTTTCAAGGTACTCCTGGACCACAGGTTTAAAGAAACTTCCTGAGCATAGAACTCTGGAGGAGGGTGTCCCTTTCCCTCCCTTGGTAGCTACACAGACAGCAGTTGGCAAAGCTATAAGCCTACTCAGGAGTAAAGGGGCCAGAGGAGGAAGTGTTGGAAGGCAGGGCACCAAGAACCTCTACCCATACCTGCTCTTCTCTTCCTGTGTTTTACGGTCTGCTGCCCACACACTCGGGGACCTAGGAAAACCTTAACTGGGTTAAGGTTAAGGCTGGGTTCAGTGAAAGAAGAGTGACGTGGTTCTGTCACCTCCCACCTCTGCCAAGGAGTCTGGGTAAATGTTCTTACACAGGATGTCCTGCTGCCCTCACAACACTCACTATTTTTTTGTTTTGTTTTGTTTTTTTTTGAGATAGGGTTTCTCTGTGTAGCCTTGGCTGTCCTGAACTCCCTTTGTAGACCAGGCTAGCTTTGAACTCACGGTGACTCGCTTGCCTCTGCCTCCCAGAGTGCTGGGACTCAGGCCTGCGCCACTGCACCCAGGCTAACGCTCACTGTTTCGGGAAGCGCCCTCTGCCCTGGTTCTTACCTTGCCATCCAGGAGCTGCCCCTTCACACCTGCTTTTACCTCTTTCTAGAGTTCAGAGTTGACTCTACAGTGTCTGACCCTCGGGCTCCCCTTCCCTTTGGTGTCCTCAGGCCTTGATCCCCATCTTTAAATTCAGGAATCCAGGGACAAGGCGATGTGGGAGGTAGAGACTAGAGGTGATTTATCCCCGCCACCCCTCATCCTCCGGACTCAGTTCCCCACAGAGGCAGCCAGGCAAGGCCAAAACACCAGCAGCAGGCAAAGGCAGAGTAGGCCAGGCCAGGCTTGAGGACCACCTAGTCGTGCAGTCCTGCCACCTCAGTGTTCTACTTTCTCAGGTCACTGGGGAGGCAGCCCACGGCACAAGGACGGGCAGTGGGGAGGGGAGGAGGAAGAAGCACCCTTAGCCTTTGTCCCCTCCCCCCGAGCAGGGTGAGGCATCCTCCCAGGGGCAGGGCCTGGGTCCGGTCCCTTAGGCAGAGTCAGGAAGGTAGGAAGGAGAGAAGGAACTGCAACAGCAGCCGCTCACAGGCAAAGGAGGAGGGGAGGCATGGATGCAAAATACATGGGAGGGAAGGGAGTGGAGAAAGAGAAAGAAGAGAAAAAGCAGAGAGAGTACACGAGATGCGCTAAGAACAGAGTCCTCAAGTGGCCTTGACCATTGTCCCAGGAGCTTGGCGAGATGGCTGCAGCACATTCTGGGGTGTCACAGCAGGCCTGTGGCTGGGAAATAGGCTGGAAGGTTGCCACTCCGGGATAGAGGGGCTGGGGGCGGAGGCTGCTCAGAGACCACAGCAGAGCTGCTCACGGGGCCAGGGCAGGGGAGTAGCAGCTACTGGTTTTCAACAGGGTCATCAAATGAAAGGACAGCGGTGAGCAAAGCCCAGGCTCCCCTGCTTCCACGCGCCTCCTGGGGGAAGGGAGATGTGGGGGGAATTCCACACAGGACCCTCAGCACCAGCAGGTCTTTGAAGAGTTCGCTGGGCCCTCGGGTTTGCCTTCCTCTTCCTCCAGTTCTGCGAAGGCTAACTCGTTGCTGGCTCGTGTTCGGAGACCGTCCAGCTCTTTCCTGTGGGCCTGCAGCACCAGCTCCGTCAGGCGAGTGAAGGACTGGGAAGCCAAGGAGCACAGGTTAGACCAGCATATCTGTCTGTGCGTCTGATAAGCCTGTAACTACCCGAGGGGTCTCCATCTTATCTTGGCTCCTACCTGCCGTCTCTCTCTCTCTCTCTTTTTTTTTTTTTTTAAAGAAAATGATCATATGTGTATTGATGTGAGGGTATCAGATCCTCTGGAGTTGGAATTACTGACAGTTGTGAGCTGCGATGCGGGTCCCAGGAATCAAACCTGGGGCCTGCTGGAAGAGCAGCCAGTGCTCTTAACCACTGGGCCATCCTTCCAAGCCCATCTGCCATCTCTTCTCACTCTCCCACCCTTCCAGGCTTGGGCTCAGCTAGAGACAGGAGAGCAGCCCCCAGCGTCCTCACCTCTTTAATGTTGAGGTTGGTGCAGGCACTTGTTTCATAGAAGTCCATGCCATACTCCTTAGCCAGCTGCAAGACAAGGGCATTTCTGAAAGAGAGTCAGTGAAGGAAGGGAGGCCCATAACACCCGGTGTGAGCTCCGGCCGCCGCACGCCTCACCACGCAGCCCTGAGATGGTGAGTGGACGCCTCGTATCCTGGGAAACGGGGGGGGGGGGGGCTTTTAAGACACAGGCTGGCAAAAGAACGGGGCAAGATGTTCTACCAACACAGCCATTTCGTCCAAATCTCCACACACACACACAATTACACACACACCTGTGTACATGGTACTTTCTTTCACTCTCACACACACAGAGGCTCGCACACACACACACACGCACACACACACACACACACACACACACACACACACGCACATCAGTACAGCATGACACAAAAACAACATGTGCCATATGGATGAGAAACATGGGCTCTGAGTACAACAGACCAGTCTAGGTGCCGCACTGCTACTCAAGGGCTGTAAAACAAGTCGCTGTCAATATTCTCTCTAAGCCCCAACTTCATCCTCTGTTAAAGGGCAGTCGTGGTGTCTGCATCCACAGTTGTAGAATGACTAAGTGAGGTCACATAGCTAAGAGCACTTACCCCAATGCTACACGCTCAATAAACAAAGTTCCTCTTGTAGGGTTTGCCTTTCCTTTCCTTTCTTTTTGTAAAGGTTTATTTAGTTTATTACATATACAATTTTCTGCCTGCATGTACACCTGAACGCCAGAAGAGGGCACCAGATCTCACTATAGATGGTTGTGAGCCACCATGTGCTTGCTGGGAATTGAACTCGGGACCTCTAGAAGAGCAAGCATTGCTCTTAATCTCTGAACCATCTCTCCAGCCCCTACTTTCACGTTTTAATGACCATTTTTGTTTGTTTGTTTGTTTGTTTGTTTTTTGAGAAAGGGTTTCTCTGTGTAGCCCTGGCTATCCAGAGCTCACTTTGTAGACTAGGCTGGCCTCAAACTCACAGAGATCCTCCTGCCTCCCGCCTCTCAAGTGCTGGGATTAAAGGTGTGTGCTACCATACCTGGCTTCTATTCGTTTTTATTCCCTTCCCCAAAATCAACTTTCTTTTAAGGACTGCTACTGACTAGAGAGAGAGGGAAGAACTCATGAGGAGCTCAGGGTGGGGGGTTGACTCTTGCCTCTGGTCATCGGCCTTTCTGTGGTGTGGGAGAATGGTCTCCCTCCATGAGTGGCCACATCTCTGCCCTGTGGCTTGTTTATCTGGGGACTCTTCATCCCCATGCTTTCCAGGCACGTGGAGTCAGGAGGTCAGTGTGTGGAGGGGGGGACCCCCACCTCACTGCAAAAGGTCAGTTGTGCACAGATGCTATTAAAGGTGCCAGCAATTCCCTTTCTCATCCCTTTCACAGAGGTGACCCTGAGCACAGCATCATCCTGCTTAGGGGGGGTCTTAGCCCTGCTAGTGTTGGACCTGTTGCTGTTGGTCTTACTTTTTTCCCCCCGTGTGAACCTTGGTCATCGTCCTGAGGACCAGAAAGCAAACTCTCGAGAATGTCAGGTCCCCAGTGCTGGGTTGTGGGTGCACTCCGGAGTCCCTGTTCTCAGGACAGACCCTGCAAATACCACAGAAGCCGTGAAGGGTGGGGCGTCACGTACCTGCTGCCCTTGCTCTCTGCCCACCTGCCGTTTCTGCTCCTCATCAGCCTTATTCCCTATGAGGATCTTCTGGACCCCTTCTGGTGCATACTAGGGAGAAAAAGGGGCGGACCTAAGTGAGCGCTCCTCTTCATTCCCAGCTCCCCCACATAGTCTCCACCAGCCTCCAAACCACCTCGGTCAAGAACCCTAGAGACAGAGTAGGCTCCAAGAATAGTGGAGCCCCTATCCCCCTTATCCATGGTTTTATTTTCCACAATTTCAACTACCATCACTCAGCCTCGATCTAAAAATATTAAATGCAAAATTCCAGAAATAAGCAATTCAGAAGTAACTCTTATTACGGCACATTGCAATCTTGCTATTATTGTTGTTGACTTTTTTTTTCTTCTGACTTATATGTTTTTGTCACAGGTATTCAAGATTAGGGAAACCCAGCACATAAAGGGTTTGGTACTGTCTGCAGTTCTCAGCTTCCACTGAGTGTCTGGGATGGAGTGTCATGGTGATTGCAATACCACGGCTGACCCCAAGAGTGTCACAGGGACCTCTTAGGGTAGAGGGAGGACACTAATACAGATGCCTTATTGGGTTGAACAAATGGTGTCTGGCAGCAAAGGACAGTGGGCTTCACGCAGCCTTTACTTGACAGATGAGGGATTGGGGACTCAGGGAGCTGACCTGGCTTGCCAAGGCTCCCCCATGTGCAGAAGCAGGTCTAGAAGCCCACACTTGCAATTCTGCCTGGTCCAGAGGTTTGGGGAAGGAAGCTGCCCATGAGGCAGTCTTGGGACTAATGCTCCTCTCCAGGAAGGACAGGGCTCTAGGGGCGTTGGAGGACACAGTGCGTAAGGGCATGGGAACGTCGGCTTTTTCCACCCGGCTTACCCAAAAGTCTCTGTCTAAAGTTGTAAAAGGCAAGGTTGTTTGACCAACCCTTAGAGCTTGGCCTTGTTTTGCTTTTCCCTAAGCACCTTCCCCCGACCCCATCAGTGGGGCAGCGTCTCCTACCTCATCCACGTCACTGACCCACTTCATGATGTGTTGGTAAGAGCGCTCGCTGCTAATGTCGTAGACTAAAAATATTCCCTGAGAGAGAAAGACAAAGAGGGAGACAGATGTACACAGAAGAACGTACAGTCATGTAGGTGGGTGGGCCTTCTGTGTCCAGCCCACTCTCCCTTCTCCCTGCCTACAGTGAGGACCCCTCAACATCCACACCTGCTCCCCTTTCCCTCAGATGCTCACAGCTGCCGCCCTGTAGGCCCCTCGTGGAATTCTTAGATAGGAGGCCACTGAATGATTTAACCAGGCCCTTTGGCTTGGGGTAGAGGCTGGAGAGCAGGGGTTGTGAGCGTGAGGAACCAAGCTACACTAGGTGGTCTGAATAGTTGAAGAACGGTTAGTGAAAAGCTGAGGTTCCCCAGCAGGCAGCCTGAGGGCTCCTCAGGATTCAGTGATGCAGGCTTCTCGAACACCCAGTGCCGGAAGTGTGGGTAGCAGCTTCCCAGCTCTAACCCTGAAATGGTGGCTCACCTGGGCCCGCCGATAGTACTGCTTTGTGATGGTCTGGTACCTCTCCTGCCCTGCTGTGTCCCTGTAAGAAAAAAGCCAGTCCCTCAGAGAAGGGACCGTGGGACAGAAGATGAGGGAGGAGAAAGAGCTGGGAGCCTCTCCCCCACCTCTCCGTACTCTAGGAGAAGATGCTGTGGAATTTCAGGGTGAAAACTTAGCAGTGCTCTAATCCCCAGGAGTATCCAAACACATCTGCAGTGAGTCTGCAGTGAGGTCCTTGTTACCAGCGCGGGCAAAGCCCCAAGGCCTGGACCCCTTCAGGACCCACACTCTCACTGAGCCGTAGATGGCTCTGCGGAACTCAGCCACTGTCGCCATGATTGGCCAGATGGGAGGATCTGTCACACACCCAATGCCTAGGGCATCTCTAAAGGCAATTCTCATGGCATTCTAGGATCTCAGGGTAGTGCCACGAACTGTTAAGGGCTTCCCAGACCTTTAGGCCAGAGAGCCACAGCAGCCGCTAGTGGCCAATAGTGGGGACTGCGCTGAGGCACTCTCAAAAAGCAGTCCCAACCTAAGGAAGCCAGGAGTGGAGCATTCAGCTAGCACAGCCCCAGCGCTGAGCCTGATTCTGAAATAAGCCCACAACGACTTCACTAAATTTTCATAGTCCCATCATTTTTGAGATTAAGGTCCACAGAACAAGGGATAGGGGTTTCTGATCTCACTCTTCATAGACATAGCCCATTAGCTCGGATGAAGCTTAGAGATTTTACCAATGACAGGCACACTCTGGGGCAGCTTTACCTGCCTCCTCCTACTGCCCGACTCACCAAATCTGTATCCGCACTTTGATGCCATCTACTTCGATGGTCTTCATCTTAAAGTCGACACCTGAAAAAAGCAAGCAAGTTAGGAAGGGCTCCCGCGAAGAAGGCCGAGACGCTCTGGTTAATGTGACAAAGAGGCAACCTGGAGAAAGTGCCATCTCTTAACATTTTACCTCTAGACTAACCCTAAAAGGCAGCTAGAGCCTTGGAGGGGGTGTCCACTTAATTAAGCGGCTACCTTACTTCCCAGGTTTCCGTTTCCTCGACAGTAAAAAGCGGGAACATCCTGGTGGTGGCGGCGACTGTGGTTCGCGCCTATAATCCCAGCACTGGGGAGGCGGAGGCAGGTGGATCTCTGAGTTTGAAGCCAGCCTAGTCTACAGAGTGAGATCCAGGACGGTCAGGGCTACAGAGTCGGGGGAAAGAAACAAATTATCTGGGGGTTGCTGAGAAGACCCTGAGAGTCGCAGCGCTGGCCCAAACACTCCACCGCAGCTGTCATTGACCTGGCGCAGTGCCTGGCATGTGGCAGGGGCCCGGGGCCTGTGAGTTGGTGAAGAAGAAGCAGGAAGGCACAGGAAACCCAGAATCCTCAGGTTCCTTCCCCCAAGGCCCTGAAGACAAGCTCGAAGGAGCCAGAGCAGAAACATATGAGGAAACCTACAGTAAGAGCAGGAGCACTGTCCTCGGCATTGGGTTTAGCTGTGCGTGCTGGCAGGGCGAGGAGAGATGTTTAGCTCACTGTGCCTTTCCCAGCCCCAACTGCACCTAGGCACTGTGCCCAGTGATTCAAGAGCTAGGTCTAACAGGGTAAGTGGAAAGGTTCGTGCATTTTCTGCAAGCACTGTCACGGAGCATCATATTCCACAGTCTTCAGCTGGGGGACATGGGAAAGGTACTACTGTGGACTGTCACCAGAAGGTCCCAAGGGTGCTAGCACGCCCCACACTGCCGCCATTCTACCCCCACATCTGGGCTTTGCCAAGCAGGAAAGGATGTTCTCTTATCTCCCCCGACCCCGGCCTTTCACAAACACAGACATTAAAGTCAGCCTCTTCCCTCCCACCACCAAGAGCAATCGTTGTTTAATTAGAAGGGAGAAAAAGCTTCAGAATGGAAGCCCTGAACTAAATCAAGTCGGTCAGACGTGAATCATTTGTCGCCTGCCCGAGCTGATTCATATCTCTTCAGCTGTACTTTTCCAAATGGCACTCTTCCCTGTGTAAAGAGAAAGAGTGACGAAGAGGAAGAGGATAAAAGGAGAGGGACACCTGCCCCTGGTGGGAGGCAGCAACCTGCTTCCTCCCTCCTTGGACAAACAGTTAAAAGGGATTGGCTCCCCCCCCCCCCCCGCCCCAGAACTTGACATGAGAGGGAATGAAGAATGGAGAAGTTCTTGTTGTTTCAAAGTATGGTACCTTCTTCCAAGAAGGTGCAGGGAATTTCCTATATAATAAACCTAGCTCACGCTCACAGCCTCCTCAGGAACATGCCTTGCTCAAAGCATTCGTAGGAGAGAAGGAACAGGCAGTTTTATCGCTTCTGCTGAACATCCGTGAAAAGTTCCATTGTGCTCTGCACAGGTTTCCATCTCAGTGTGGGCACAGCAACGATGACATGCTGTCCCCTCCCTCACAAAGGGGAGTAGGAAGGAAACAAAGGCCTAGATGCAAACAACCTGCCTGAGGTTTCACAGCCCGTATCAGTTTCAAAAACAGACTTGTTTGATGCTGGAATGCATGCTACCCCCTGTATGGGATCTTGGGTGAGTGAGGGGAAAGTTACAAGCTAGCATGTTAACTCTACATGGAAGGGGTAATGGTTAATATCGTCAGCTTGACAGGATCTGGAGACCAGAGCCTCTTGGACCATCTATGTGGGAGTCTCTAGATTGAATCAACTGAGCTGGGAAGACTCAACGTAAACGTGGGTGATGCCATTTCAGCGGTTGGAGTCTTAGGCTGAATAAAACAGGAAGGCTGCCAAGCGCCGTGGTGCACGCCTGTAATCCCAGCACCCTGGGAGGCAGAGGCAGGTGGATCTCTGTGAGTTCGAGGCCAGCCTGGTCTACAAAGCGAGTCCAGGACAGCCAAGGCCACACAAAGAAATCCTATCTCAAAAACAAATAAACAAAAAACTCAACCAGTCGACCAAACAAACAAACACACCAAAACAGGAAGGCAAGCAGAGCAAGAGTGTTCATCTCCTCTTGCTTCTAGACTGCAGATGCAATGTGGCAGTCCCCTCAAGTTTCTGCCACCGTGACCCTCGAACTGTGAGCCAAAATAATTATTCTTCCTCCCCCGAGTCGTTTTTGCCCGGTGTTTTGTCTCAGCGATACAAACCCGTCAACTAAAAGAGAAGTAAGTCTCTACACTCTGTTTCATTTCCTGGTTTCCCCGTGGGTCCTTGAGAAGGAAGGGCTGGGCTGAGAGGGGAGCCTCCAACACTAAGACCTTCCTTGTGAGAGAAGGGGAAGATGCTATCAGAGCTGTTAAAAGCACAGAAGGGGCAAGCAGATGTGGAATTCACAGGAGCGAGTGCTGGGCCTGGCTCCTGTTCAGTCCTCCTCCCTCACTTCGGAGGTACATAGGAAGGAAGTCAAGACTGGCAGTTCTGGGATCCCAGAAACCTCCACTCTTCCAGGCTGGATTGCAACCTACCCAAGCCTAAATCTGCTTTAATATGACTGAGACATAAAGGGCTTCCTCTTGGCCAACTCATAGGTATTAATCTGAAGGATTTCCCCTGCATTTTTCTTTAAATAAAAAGATGGAATAGCCTGGGGCTCTCCATTACTACTGCTACTCTATGTCCCTCTACACCTTGAACTTTCCATTGTACCCATCCTATCCATGGAACCCTGGTTCACAGTACCGTGTGCTAACCCAGGCAGGCCCTAAGCTGACCCCAGACCTTCCTCTAGTCTGCATGGCTGTTGGTTTTTGTTTTGTTTGTTTTGTTTTTCCGTTATAAGACAGAATCAAAACACTAGACTGACTGTAGTGAGAATTTGGGAATTTTAGCTTTTTAAAAAAAAAACAAACAGAACTTTTTATTATAAGAACGTTCTTGTTTTAGTCCCAGGTGTTGGGGATGTGCGCCTGCTTCACAGCAGCTGGCTACGCCTCACCTCGAGCTCTAACAGAGGCATGATTGATTTACCAGCTGCAGGTAGTTTCTGCAGTTCTGCAATGTTTGGAAGTCTGGGGACTTCTCAAAGGGTATGTAAAGGCCAGGGCCCTGACGGGTGGGGTGGGTTGTTGGTGGCGGTTTGTTAAGCAGGCACCCACAAAGAAGAAGAAGAAATTAGCCTGACTGTGAAGATCAAAATTGCCCCAAGGAGCTAATCAGCAGGAAGTAGTCTAAAGGATGACATTGCTCCCTTTTTCCTCTGTATCCTTTTTTTCTCTCATTACCTAGTGTTAGGAGGTTAAAAAGGAAGAAGAAAAAGGGGGAAGGGTGCAAGAACCCATAAAGTAGACAAACGCAGGCTACACCTGACAGAGTCCCCTGGAGGCTCGAGCTTTCCCACCTCAGCCTATTGGCCACTCAGCGAACTATTTATTCAGATGGGTTCACCTGTCACATCATGACTGTCCTCCCTACCGAAGGCTTCAGCCCCCATGAGCCTTCTCACGTTGACTGTCAACAGAGTACCTTTCCACAGCATTTCTTCTCAGGCCTACCATCTCTCTCCCTTTCTCACAGAAGAGTCCTCCATCCAGTCCTCCCCGCTGCTCATCCTAACACAAAGCTCCTCCTTGTTGCTGCTTTTTTATCTATTAGGAAAGAGGGCTATTCTCCATCTACTTCAGCCCCAGGGTTTGCTCACATTTGGCCTCGCTAAGGCACATTTACGATTCACACAGATTTGAATTCAGGAGGTGTGAGATGAAGCCCAAAGAACTGTATCAAGCTTCAGGGTCCGAATATCAGACCTCAACCAGTGAGCTCAGTGGACAGTAATTTTCAAAGTGTATTCTTGTTTGTTTTTTGAGACAGGGCTTCTCTGTGTAGCCTTGGCTGTCCTGGACTCACTTTGTAGACCAGGCTGGCCTCAAACTCACAGCGATCTGCCTGCCTCTGCCTCCTCGACTGCTGGGATTACAGGCATGCGCCACTGAGCCCGGCATTCAAAGGGTATTCTCGGATTTTCAGCTTGACAGCATCATCTTGGACTTAGAAAAGTGCCTGGATCCTCCTTCAACCTTGGAGAATCAGAACCCCAGAGATGTGAGGCCAAGGAGTCGGTTTCAACAAGCTCCCAGGAGAGTCCCACACATCTTAAGTTTGCCAGCCACGTGGTTCAAAAGCTTTGCACCTGAACCATCAAGAAAGGCAGCATAGGCAGTCTCTTTCATTGCGTACTCTGCAGAACCTCAGCTAAATTTAGAATTACCCAGGAGATTTTTTTTTCTTTTTTTCAATTTAATGCAGTTACCTTAAAACATAAGAAATAAAAATTAAGGAAAAGAAAGAAAAATATAGTTACCTTGACTTGCCTAAATCTACTAAGTCATATTTATTTTATTGGATTTTTTTTTTTTTTTGAGACAGGGTTTCTCTGTGTAAACTTTGGCTGTCATGGACTTGCTTTGTAGACTTGGCTGGCCTCAAACTCACAGCAATCCGCCTGCCTCTGCCTCCCCGAGTGCTGGGATCAAAGGCGTGCACCACCACGCTTGGCTACTAAGTGATAATTTGAGTAAGACCCAGAAACTATATTTTAACAGCACTGTGTAGAGCAGCGGCCCCCAACCTTCCTAGTGCTCTGACCCTTCCTCATGCTATAGTGACCCCCACCCATAAAATTATTTTCATTGTTACTTCATAATTTTGCTACTGTTACGAATCACAATGTAGATAGCTGTTTTCCAGTGGTCTTAGGCGACCTTTTTTGAAAGGATCATTTGATTCCCCAAAGAGCTCAGACCCACGGATTGAGAACATGATGTGGGGGAAGAGACCCTGGTTAGCCCTGGAGTCAGAAAGACCGGGTGTGAATCCTGAGTCGGGCACTTAACGTACGACTCTGGGCAAGTCATAATTCTCCCAGTTGCC